AAAAAAAGTGATATTACTGCGGTAGTTGTTTAATTGTTGCGTTGTAAGTCTGGAAAAAATTTTCGGCACGTGATTGGTGACTACATACGCGGTATATAAATTCACACATTATAATAAGCATAGTAATCTAGCTTTGACCGTAGAGGCTTAGTAAATCGTAAATTATTACGGTTTCCCTATTCTTGTTAATAAAAATTTAATGTAATATTTATAAGAAATATAAACAAATATTCGTGTTAAGTATTTTTTACATAACAGTATTTTTATAAAACAAAAAAATGCTTGCCATGGACTTACCTACTTGCATATCGAACAAATTTTAGAGATTCTTCGATTAATAATAGTAAAGTTTCCGCTCACATTTAAAGCAGAGTTGCCCGAAATAGCAGCTCGTGCTCCGTCTATATGTCGTTGCCTTAAATAAAATATCGCTAAAATCGAGAGCTATTAAGATTTCCGTTCGCCATATTGGTTTAATCATTTTAAAATTCCAAATTTGAATCCGGATTCGAGATCAGCAACCCCGAAAACCTCCTAGGGTGCAGTCACATGGTGTCAGAAATAACGGAACGGAACAGTAACGGAACATTGATAGAAAAGAGATAGAACAATCCTATCTCTTTTCTATCAATGTTCCATTCTCATTCCGTTCCACTATTTCTTTCTCCATCGGGACGCACCCTAATACAAAGTCTCACCGAAATCGGAGGACTCTATCAGCCTCAACGAAAAGAGGCTTTAGGCCAGCGTATAACATGTTAATTTTAAGATAGGATAAAACAGAAGAAATTTAATAATTTCTATTTTTCCTGCTTTTACTATTTATATTTGAGGAACAGGAAGAGGTAATTGTAAATAAAAAAAAGTAAATGGACATTTATAATATTATGTGTTAATACCAGCACCAATTAGCATTTAATAACGATAAGTCCGTAAAATATAGATATAAATACCTAAACAATAATTGTACAATAAAATTATTGATTCTAGCGAAGTCTCAAGGTCTCACAAATCAACTGGGCTATTTAAATCGGATCATATATATAAATACTATAAGCAATGTATCCTGCCATGGTTCACAATTTACATTGAAGAATTAATAATCGTTGATTGGATCAAATATAAATTTTATATGAACTCGTATATTTTACACATCATATTCGATTATGTGTATATATATATATATATGTATATTTTTTTTAATACGCGCGACTAATATTGATATGTATCAGTATATCCTATAAATTCCGAATTTATATATTACACAAGATATTTATACAAAACGTATTAAGAATTTTATTACCGTAAATTTTTATCTGTATTTCAATTTTCAAGGTTTTTTTTAAATATTTTATAAAATAAAAATTTAGAGAATTTGTAACGGTGTCAATTCAATTAATCTTAGATGTCATAAACAATATTATCGCGCGTAAATAATACAAGAATGAGAGTTACAAATAAAGAATAATAATTTATATTGCGCAAAGTATTGCAGAGTTCGCTAGCTACAAGGAAAGTAATTTCAATAGGTGCGATTTCGCGATTTGTGTTAACTTGTTTTTACAAAGGGTTTTATAACATTAAACTGTACATGCACCCTCGTAATAACACTTAATAATCAATTGATTCTCTATGCATTGAATTGACTAAAACAACTTTTCTCTTTTTATAATATTTGTACAATATATTTTCATATTTGAAAAATATATCTCCCTGCCTATGTTGTTAAACATCTTGCCTCATATAAAATGCTCAAATAATGGAAAATGTAAAGGATTTGCCTTTACATAATTCAGTCTCTGGTACTCGCGGGAAAGTTTCTCTCTAGCGTATGATCTCTTGGTATCAACTTTATAGGGCAAAACTAAACAATTGGATAACTATTCAACATGATACTTTTTTCTATGTAATTACAGAATGGCTTCTATTACATCAATTGCTTCTGAGATCTTCAATACCTCGTAACGCTAATACTACATTGTATACTTTTTGTAGAAATAGATAATAAAAACCATTCTTATAACATGTGTATAACGTATGATTAGCTTTGCTGAGTTTGAAAGTTCAACTTGTAAATTTTTGCCTGCTTATTGCTGTTAAAAATCGAAAGATAAATGCCAAGCACCTTTCTCTCTCTTTTTTTTTTTATCAATATATGTATATACATTTGATGCATACACACCATAATTTTAATAATATAAATTCTTTATCATAAAAAATTTATGCGATAAGTAACTTAAAATATCTTAATATCATGCAGCAAAGATAAACTAAATTAAAAATAACAACGTGTAATGTGAATGTAATTATATGTATAACACAATAATGATATATTAATTGCTGCTTAGAATTAATTACAATGTGATGATAATTCCATAAACATTTATGTCGAAGGATATGCATTATTTCATTGTTAGTAAGATTTAATCAAATGCTAACGGTTTTTTGTCGCTCAGTTTACGATAATTATATAATATCATATGTAATAATAAAGATCATTTCTTTTAATTTGTATTAAAATTACGCAATTAGTGAAGCCTTAAACAATTCATATTGGATAATCACGTATGAATTGATGTTGAATCGAGCACGACAGTTTTCCTATACTGATTTCGTGCATAAGATTCAATTCAATTCAGTTTTTCACGATAAAAGAAATGCTAAAATATATTTTCCTATCTATACATTTTTTTTTTACGAAAGAGAATTAATAATCGTAATTTCTCTTGCCGTAATAATCGTAAGAGGGAAGCACTTAATAATATCTCTCCACTAATGATTCATTTTTTCTTCA